AGACAGAAGTTCTCATTTTAAAATTTTATTTTTGTTATAACAATACATTGCGTTTACTGGAAATCATCATTGCCAGTACTTGAGAAAGTATTCAAGGGGTTAGGGTACTTGACTATTTTGAAGACAAAAGTTATTTCATCTAGAGATCTTTGTATCAATCTATTTTATCAGGATGCATGTCCCACAAATACAATTATATTGAAAACATAGTGTTTATTTTTAATATTTATTGCCCTTAAGAAACTGTTCTGTCTGTGACTGTGGTTCGCTCAGATCTAACTGTTGCAAGTACTCTGCAATGCTTACAACAGTCAGTGCAGTTCCTTTTCTCTTTGGGTTTTTAATTTCTCTTCTATAGTAGGAGTGATAGCTCTTCCCCTATCAGTGTATATCATTGGTGCTTATGATACAATTACTACATTGTACGGTTTTCTCCATAGTCAACATGGCTGATGTTAATTCAAGGGTGCAGAACTTTGATTGAAACTACCTTTTAAAGCATCCGGGAAGCTTTTGTTTCTCTCCTTTATTCTGTCATTTTAACAGTTAACCTGCATATGTCTTCTATGCATTTTTTCATTGATAGTGGTAATGCCTACTATGAACTCTGTTTCAGGCCACTCTTGTATTAGCGAGAATATCTCTCACCAGTGTTCTCTTTTATTGTCACAAATTTCAGCTCACAGAAGAAAATTCCATCAGAATGGAAGAGAAGTCTCAGTACTCCCCTTCCTAAAATAACACAGAATGATGGCAGTGATAAAAAACCTGAGAAAATAAACAGAGCTAAACACCTATCAAAGCAAAGCAAACCAAGCAAACAACAAAGCTCTTAAAAAATGTATGATACTTCCAGTTAAGAAAGCAAACAAAACTGAATACATTAGCTAGGTGACACTTATGCCAAGTACCATGATTTTCAAGTATAGCCTTATTTTCTCCCCTTTTATCCTTTCTTTAGGGACAAGAGCTGGTTTGCTTTATGATTTTTCTAGTGCACATAATACGTTGTGGGTACTACTGAAGTCTAAATTATATAGATGTAATTACAAAACTAATTCTTACAGATAGGAAAAATATGCTCACTACATTTTCCAGACTATTTTGCTATTATTTTTAATGAAAGTCATATTTGATGTTTGTCTCCAGGAAAGAGATAATTGAAGTATCATGCTTTCAGCTGAAGTAGCAAGGCTGAAGCTTTAATAATAAGCAGTGTTATAAACCAGAGCCTCTAGTTGTAGGTACCTTGATTGCAAAAGCTTTGCTCTGCAGACTGTCCGCAGATACTAGGTATTAGGATGAGTCATGGAGAGAAACAGTTGCAAAATGGATGATAAAGCATTCAGGAAGTACTGTTTTGAAGTGGATTTAGAACTGAATATGAAGCCAGAGCAGAATATGAAGCAACAGTGACCTTATTTGTCTCTTACCTAGATGGATATTGTATGTTTTAAACTACTGGGAGTTTCCATATGATCTTTGGAGTTTGTTCCGTATTTGTGGTACTTTGCTAGAATAGAATCATAGAATCATAGATTAGTTAGGGTTTGAAAGGACGTTAAGATCATCTAGTTCCAACCCCCCTGCCATGAGCAGGGACACCACACACTAAACTATGTTGCCCAAGGCTCTGTCCAGCCTGGCCTTGAACACCTCCAGGATTGGAGCATTCACAACTTCCTTGGGCAACCCATTCCAGTGCCTCACCACCCTCACTGTAAAGAACTTCTTCCTTATATCTAACCTAAAGTTCCCTTGTTTAAGTTTAAAGCCATTACCCCTTGTCCTACCACTACAGTCCCTAATGAGGAGTCCCTCCCCAGCATCCTTGTAGGCCCCTTTCAGATATTGGAAGGCTGCTATGAGGTCTCCACGCAGCTTCTCTTCTCCAGGCTGAACAGCCCCAACTTCCTCAGCCTGTCTTCATACGGGAGGTGCTCCAGTCCTCTTATCATCCTCGTGGCCCTCCCCTGGACTTGCTCCAACAGCTCTATGTCCTTTTTATGTTGAGGACACCAGAACTGTACACAATACTCCAAGTGAGGTCTCACAAGAGCTTGAGGAGCTAGTTAGGAATAGCTTATTTGGGACAGCATGAGAATGGCTGTACTTCCACAGACAAAGGATCCTTCAGGGCAAGCACCCCCACACCATGACAGTGCCTGGTAGCATGTGCTTAGGAAAGAGTATTGGGACTCACTGTGCCTTTCACCAAAAGTTTTGTGAAAACTTTTAAATCTTCAGCAGTTTGAGGCTGAAGAAATTCCTGAGACAGAGGAGATGTCTTTTCATGTAAGAAGTATCAATTATTTTTTCATCTTTAACTCATCTGGTAGCTTTCTAAACCCACACAGGCTTTTATCATAAACTGTATATATCCACAGCAGGGTTATATTCACCTTCGGGGAAAGCTATCTGAGCACACACGCAGCAGGTACCTATTTTGTCTCTTGCTGTCTAGACATATCCTCATAGGAAACTCCAGTTACAGTCCTGTAGCAGTTGTTCATGCCTGCCTTTCTGCCATGTCCCGTGCAATCAGCGGCTTGTTTATTCCCTTCCCACCGTATTTATTATTTGGTGGTTATCTTAATATTTCATCAGTAGAGATTCCATTATGATCTTTCCTTATTATGTAACTTGCTCTGCTTTAGCAAATTGTTGATACTTGAAGTTCTAGATAATATTTCAGACCATATGGAAGCAGTTATTTATAACTTTGAAAAATTGTATCACATATGAATGAACTGCCAGTGACACATTCTGCCTACCTACAAAAAAACCAAACTTCAGTAATTAAAACAGAAACCCACTTTTTCTCTACTTCAACACTTTCTTGGTAAGTCAGTCAAGATATGAAGCAGAAAGGGTCCTTTGAACATGGATGCCTGAGGAAAAAGGAAATAGTAATGTTCTAGCAATGTGAAAATGAGAAGTCAAAATGAGTGGGATGAACCTTATTTCTTATGTCATGTTTTTTTATTTACATACAAAATTAGCTATCACAACAAGATTTTTTCTTGTCCTTTTTTCCTTAAACTTACTATAAACCTTTTTTTTTAAACATAGTATATCTGAATGCTAATATCACACACAAGGTTTTACAGGTTATGTGTTAGACAGACTCCTTTACTCAGAGACTTTACTATATGATGAAACTGGCAAAATGTTAATGTCTTCAATATTTGACTGTAACCCAGGAAATGAACACTTATCTCACTCAATTCTTCAAAAAGGCAGTTTGCTTCTATGATTTCCTTGCTATTTTGTCGCAGGTATTCAGGACTAAAAAAAAATTTCATGTGCTAGTATTCAACTGATACAGACAGTAAGTAGCCTATGATACAAAGAAGATATTTAACATAATTAAGATTTGATCCTACTTTAAGTCCAAACTGTGCTCTAATATAGTGTAGATAAGATACCTTTTATTCTAAGGCCACCTAAGGTTAAAAGCTACTGAAAGCTCTGTCTCATGAGTATCCCTGACAGGAATTCCTGTTTACACGAAGAGTAGAAAGAATTGTTGAAATGGATTTTTTCTTTTTGTAACTGCCAACTGCTTATATTCTCACATCTCAGTGCTCAGTGTTGTTGTGTGAGAAATACTGTTAGCTAGTATTTAGTTTCCTGCATTTCCTAGTAAAGACAATAAAGCTTTAATTTATTTATTTTTGGCCCAAGAGTGCAGGACACACAAGCAGCCCTACTGGAAGCTGGGCCATAGTTTTCAAATCATGCTATTTTTTCCAAGTACTTCATTTAGCTTAACCTTTCACTTTTCGGAGTCTTCATGGGAACTAGTATATTCCTTGGTCAAAAAAAAAAGGTCTTCCGTGTGCAGTAGAAAAATGTTCATAGTGGTGGTTTACGTTGATCCATAATTAATGAAGCAGAAGGAGATAATTTTGTTGTGTTGTGTTTACAGACAAGTTCTTGTGTAATCTGTTATACATGTACTACTCGTTTCTTCCCTCAAATTCCTGGATTTTAATCAGAAAATGCAATATAAACATGTGAAATTGCACTGAATGTCAGTTCAACAAGTACTATTTAAAATAATTTTACCCTTATTAAAATACAAAAAAATTATGCTTAAAAGAATCGCCATCAATGACTCTTCTGAGATCAGTACAACAGGTTTGAACAAGAACAGCAGTACAACAGTACTAAAAGTTAACTTCAGCGACTCATTAATTCTGTTAAATTCAGGAATATGGATTTTATTCCTAGTGTGGAAGCTTAGTCAGAGCTAAAAAAGAGTTACATGAGCTGTCTCTAATTAATGTAGATATTTCTGAGTTACTATAGTTCAATTTTTCCTGTAACTATCTTACATGTTTTTTTCACCAAATACAATAAATTTAGTGTATTTCCAAATCCCTTTAGCTATTTTAACTAGTTTCAACTCAGTTTGTTAGAGCTTTCTCCTTCTGCCTGAGAAACTGTCTGTTTTGTGTAACACTCTGTAACATTACAAATCAATGTGGCTGCCTAAAAATCTAGGAAAACAGTGGTTCTAAACTAGGAGTATGGGTAGTGTCCTGACACTGGAATAGCAATTTTCCATTTTAAGTAAGTACTCTGGAAAACAGTGTATTCTGAGTACTAATGATAGCATTGATAGCAGGTGTTCTTGTGGTCTGTAAAGTGGTTGGAACTAAATTTTTGAAGTCTTTGATTCTGGAAGATTTGGATGTCTAATGCTATTTAGAATCAATATCAGAGGATGCTCTTAACAAAGTCTTTCTAAATCATTGGCTTGTAGTGCAGTATCGTTTCTAGCAATAACTTTTGATTGTAGCAAGAATTTAATCTATATTTGTTACATACTCTGAGCATATGACATGTTGTATGAACACTTAACAGTACTACGCAAGTACTGGCATTGACATGCGTATATTGTGAAAATACTTATTTTTCGAAGGGATGAATAAATATTGTGGGGAGGATTTTTCTTTCTTACCAATAATTCATTTTAAATACTTGTTTTCCAGATAACGGAGGACAGACCTTGGCAGGTGGAAATAACTGGCCACTGAGAGGAAGAAAATGGACCCTCTGGGAAGGAGGAGTGAGAGGAGTAGGCTTTGTTGCAAGTCCTTTGCTGAAAAGAAAAGGTGTAGAAAGTCATGAACTCATCCATATCTCTGACTGGCTGCCAACACTGGTGCACCTTGCTGGAGGACATACCAATAGCACTAAGCCTTTGGATGGCTTTGATGTTTGGAAAACGATCAGGTAACTTGCATGTCAAATCACTGAATCAGCATTCTGGTATGAGAAGAATTTAATCAGCCCAGAGAACAGAGCAGGATCTGGTGGCAGAGGGGAATATTACATATTCCCTAAAGGGAAGATGTAAATGCAGGTAATGTTGCTATTCGTAAGAGAATTATACAGGTTGCAAATTAGTCCTGGTCACAGATGTAAAACTTCCAGGCAGCTTTAACTCAGTATGTTGAATTTGTCAGTATCAACACAAAAATGCATAAACATGGTACACTTTTCCAAGAATGCTCTGTGATCCAGAAGTATATTAACTGGTTTTGCATAGCATGGAGTACAGTTAGTAAATTTTATGGACCTAGCCCTACTCTCTACTGAGCCCACTTGGATGTCTCTGCTGTATGCATCTGGAATTGGACATGCAGGAAATCTAGGCAGACATTAAACTCACTGAGCATCCATTCCACTTTGGTGTTTTGTTAGCTCAGTACAGGACCTGTCAGGCTGGCTTGAAGTGTAATTGTTTCAATAGGTTGGCATCATCCTGTCCAATGTCTCAAAAAGCCTGTGAGGCTGAGTACAGAAGTAGACCTGATATGGTTCTTGAGAGGCTATGATGTTGTCCCTGGTTTAAGCAAGCTGGAGCACTCAGGCACACAGTGCAGACATGCTTAGATGGCTGGAAAAAAGTGGCAGCGTAGCTCCAGTGGGGTTGACACCGAGAGCAAGTTAAAGACTTTTACTGGGCACTCTGACTCTGTGCACTTCTCATGCTGCCTGGATTAACTGTCAGGCTATCCTGAACCCCATTAGTTCATAAAATAGAATGTCTTCCATGCATTAAAAGAAAAAATGAGTTAAATCCCCTACATTTTTCCTCTGGAAAAGAATAATAAAAATGTTATCACAAGTGCTAGATACTGGGTGCACTGAGGACATAAGATATGTGTTTATTAGTGGGGCATTTGGCTCAGCAAAGTAAGTAGAATAGAATGTAAAAGTATAAGTGAAATAGGTATTAACTGGTAATGGTGTGCTTTTTCACTGAAACAAACAGTCAAAAGAAACTAGTGTTGCCCCTTTGCAATATCTTCAGTTAAGACTTACACTCAGTCCTTCATCTTTCAATGTTTTTCTGTTATTGTGATGTTCTTTTATTATATTAAAATGGATTACAAAGGTCTTAAACACCTAGTTCCTCCAGAATTTTGAACTTCTATGACCAACCCTTATTTTTGTAAAAATTGCATAGTGACATTAGATTAAATTCCTGTTTCTCACTCTTCTGTGCTTCATGTAATGCATTCACAGATGGGGCTAAATCCTATTGTGTATGTTCTTGGAAATTATATTTATTTTAGTACATCTTGAATATAATTTTGGTTTGCATAAGAATAAGTTTAATACTGCCAAAGCAGAACAGGAGAGGACTAGCTAGTAGGAAGAACTAGCAATTCTACTTCCTACATGCCATTCATTTGAGAATTAGTGTTTTGTTTCTTTTGGTAGTCTTTGTTCTGTTTTTATAGCAGTCAGACAATACTATATTATGTGTGTTATAACCTTTGTTGCCTTCTCAGGGTTCCCACCCCAGCTTGCATGATAAATGTAGCTATTTATGTAGCAATAGCTGATTTTTATGGTTTTTTTAATTTTATTTTCTGCATAATACATTATGCTAAATGTTTGGTTTTGTGTGTCTTAGCATCCTAGACTGTGAATTACAGAGGTTAGTTCCTAAATAAATGTTAGTAGGAGTATCTTTGGGTTAGGTATTGAAATGAAAAATTGAGAGTTAGAGCAGGTACAGCTGAACCCATCTACCCATCTCTGGTTAGCCCTATTTATACCTTGAAGTAAAAACAAAACTGAACCAAACCAAAAAAAAAACAAACCAAGCCTAACCCCCTGAAATATTGCAAACCCATTATCTTGAGTTCAGAATTGTTCTGTTCGTACGTTTAGTGGGATTACCTGTTTTGAAACTCCTCAGCTTGATTTTTTTCTTGGTGCTGTCTCTGTTTCTGAGGCACTATGGACTAGTATTCTGTACTAGCTGGAGTCTGCAGAGAACTCATGGCTTTGTGCCCAGGTGTACCATATTGGCTGTCTTCCAAGTGGAAGAAGATAAGGATGTGTATAATTGAGGCCAGGGACTATTAACTGCCAGGAAGGAATGGAGACTACTGTCCAGCCAGAGAAAGTAAAATGTTTTATATGCCAGTGTAACTGTGGGAAAACTTAGCGAGATCCTGGGGCACTCCTGAACCACAGACTTTTCTTTCAGCTATCAGCAGAATTCCTGTCTTCTTCAAGTTCAGTTTCAACCAGGAATTCTTTGTCATGGACAGATCTCAGATCGGGTTACTTCAGCAGAAAAATTCTGTATGGGGAAGTATAGGTACAGCTGTGCATCCTCTGCATCTCCTGGCACTTGAATCATTTCTGTTTGTGGAGGGGCTGAATGCAACGTTGAATGGCACTGCTAGGTGGTAGGGGACCTCCAGTATTTTCAATTTTGCAAACAGGAGGGCCTCTGTCTGGGAAGGAAAAAAGTCAGTTTTTGTAAATTGTTAGGCTGCTTTTTGACTTACCTTGCAGCCGAAATGCCAAATTTCACACAATTTTCTGATGCAATCAGGAGAAATGAGTGTATTGAATTTCATGATCGTAACTCAAAAGGTCACTTGAATACTGGATAGCAAACAATGAAGGCAGAGTGCCCTTTTGGTGGCATCTGATGGAAAGTTCAAATATGTTGCTTCTCTTGGACCAGATGGCTCATAATGGGTGAAATTATAAATTACTAAGATTCGAACTCATTTGGAAAAAGGAAATTAATAGCCTATCACCGTATTACATCTGTATTTTTCAGTCCAATCTAATACAAATAGATGTATATGCTCTGTGTGTGTGAGGACTGTAATCCTGAGCCTACTGTTTCATGTGTGTGTAATCAAAAGGTTATAAATTTGAACCTTGGTTTAGATATTTAGAAGAATACATGAAACAATGTGGATATTCTCGGAAGTCACAAAAATATTGGATCCATTCCGGTATCTCTCTGATTTCTGCCTGTAAATGATCAGTATTTAAAGGATGTGTTCTTAATATGATATTTATGCAATAAATATAAATAATTATGAATATGTATGAAATACATACCATTTTAATATGGATAATTATAAATAATACAGACATTAGATATGAATTTCATAATCCTAGGTATAAATTCTGAAATACGAGACAAAAGTGAACTTCCTGATGTGAGTTTAAGATGATTTGTAGTCCAAATTTGGAATTGAAGTAACATGACACTGCTTAATATGAAGTTCTCATAGCAAATAGAAGTGCTGAATGTGTGTGTCCAGCTGTTTATTTTATGCCTCCTCTAGTTAATTTTGACTTGAAGAACTGTAAGAAAGTTTTTGGTTAGGAACAAACACAATGCATACAATGCATAAAATGAGGAAACTCAACGTTCTTGTTCCCATTGAACAGTTTGAACTTTTCTTAGGTAAAAATTTGCATGCTACTTAAAAGCTCCTTACAGAGGCTTTGAACTCAGAAGTTTACTCTTTCCAAACTGATCTGCTGACCTAGTAGTGTAGGAAATACTATTGCAACACTGTATCAATAAGACACCTAACAAGATAGGAATCTGATTTAAAATAGGAAGTGAAATAAGGCAGTTTTTACTCACATTCCCCCAGCCTGACACTCTCCCTCACCAAAAGGTGTGTGTCTGAGAAGTCTGCCCAGCAGCCAGGCACCAGGGCGGGGGTTTTCAAACCACCCATCTGGCAGTCAGGCACCACGACGCTTGTGACCAGATGTTAGGCCCAGGATCTGTTACAATGGTGCAGAGGTCCAGGAACACCAACTATGAAGTCCTTCCAACATCTTCTGTGTTCTTCTGAGGCTGGTAAACATGATAGGTTCTGATAACTCCTTTTTGTACCCTTTTGGTCCTGCTTCTCTGTCCTGTCCTGCCTCTGTGAGTCACCAGGTGCTGTCACTGTTTCATGTCCAGATGTCCCTGTCCTGTGAAACTGGCCTAGATTTGTTGGGATCTTGCTGACCTACTAATCTGGATGTTGTTGACACAGGCTGTTATGAGAGCCCTTTCCCTGCTGTGTGTTCCTGCTGTCATCTTCACATGCAGATCTTCACAGTCTTTTCTCCGTTCATACCAATCTCAGTGTATCTGCTAGAGTTTTCTACAGTAAAAGATAGCAGGCCACCTTGCTCTTTCAATGCAAAATTTTGTTGCAGCATATCTGTAAACCAGTAGTTCCTAAACTTTATTTTCCCCCAAGTACCTTTGGAATTCAATTTAACTTTCCCTTTAATGTCTCTAACTTCTTTTCGAAAATAATATAAGATAGTATTACTGTAGCAACCTATTTTTGGATATCAGAGCATTCCAATCTCATGTATAAACCTGCTACATAAACCATAGAAGATTGTACTTTTTAAATTAGACTGCCATGGGTAACACTACATTATAGCTGGAACACCTAAAACCATGTACATAGGAGAAATTATTTCTGAAAATACAGTGGTAATACCACTAATATATTTTACAAAACATAGTAATTGACAATACCAAGAACAATTAATAGAAAATAGTACTAAAATCCAGCTAGTCAGGGAATCTAAACTGTACTGCATGTTTCCAAGCAAGTATCTCAAAAGGCACTTGTGTGTCTAAGAAACATCTGTTCTCCAGATGCTTACCACTCTACTGAAATTGAGACGCTAGGCAAAATAATTTTCCTTATGCTGAAATTTGCCCTGTTTGATACATTGTTTGATATATTTGGGGTTTCAGTACTGAATATCTAGTATGCCTGTGCTCAGAAAAAGAACTTTATTTGCATTAGCAAGAAAACAGAAGACCAAATGGTAGAGCACATGGAGCAGTATGATAGACAGGCACTGAGAAATTCAGGATAAAATACAGCCAAACAACTAACATTTCTTTAAACCTGGTTAGCAAGCACCTTTTCATATGTTTCACAGTGCAAGCCTCAGGTTGAATACCAAATGGTTACATTCATTTTAGGAATTAAACACTGATTTTAAAAATTATTTTTTTTTGTGGTACAAACTAACGCTGAAGAAAGAGCAATCTGAAGCTGAGCATAATGTTTATTTCCAGCATACCTGAAATATAATTATTTTAGGAAAGCATGTACAGATATGACCCAGAGAAATACAATATATGGCAAGGCTGTAAATGCTCAGATTTTGCTCAGTAACACTGAGGATGTTTTTGTGCATGATAAACATATTTACTCTGAAAAACCTTGGATTCCTTCCCAAGGACACCTTCTGCCTATTTTAGAACAACAACAAAAGTGAAAAATCACATGGAGATGTTTGTTCATATTCAGTAAGGAGTAATAAATAGATCTCTGTATGTTTTAAAAACTTTACAAAGCAGAAGATAGAGTGACATGCTCAGCATAATCTCTCTGGTTCTCATACCAACTTTGAAGTAGATCTATATGCTTTCAGCAAGATGTTCTTAGAGAACTTTTTTGGAAAGCAATACCTTTCAGCTGCTTAATTATATAGTCATACATGATAGAATAAGAACCAGGAACTCTGCTACAAGAGTAAATTCTCTACTTCTTGTCCCCAGCATATCGTTTCTGTCTTCCTGATGTCCTTTTGTGTCAGGCAGCTGCTTTTTAAAATGTACATTGCCATCGTCTTCTCTGACTTTTGTTTCGTGATTGATATATGGTGGTTATAAACCTCCACAATGTGTGCCACAGAATTACTGGAATAACACCCAATTGAACAAGCAGTTCAGTAATGCCATAAGCTTTAGGGACTGTATCTCATGATTATATATAAATTACATTTCCAAGTTACTATAAGTGATATTCTGTCCCAGAAAAAAAAAAAAAAACCCAAAAAAACCCCCCCAAAAAACCCCAAAACCTGATTCAAAAAAAATGACAGCTGAAGTATGAAAAACCTAAATTAATGCAGGTATAATCTTTGTATTTTGTGTTCTACCTGCTGTGCAGTAAGGCTCATAACCATGTTTAGTGTATGGTATCCACCCTCCAGATTAAAAGCCTTAAAAGAAATTACCTGTTATGATATGACAGTAATACTAGTCTGCTTGAACAGCACAAATATTCTCGGTTCTGACTTTCTACCAACTGTGGTACTGTATGAATATTAGATGTATAAACAGAAGAAGCACATAGGAGTAAGTTACTTCTTCCTTCTGTGTTTGACCCTGGTGGAAGATATTTAGCATAACTCTGACATTTATTTTCTTCTAAAAGGTTACTGAAAATTGTAGATACAGCTCAGAAACTGAAAAATAAGAGTATCTCCCCAAGCAGTTACTGCAGAGTAATTGACATGCTATAAATCCACATCCTACTTTAACTTGTGCTAACTGGTTCATGTTACTGTTACCTACAAACAGATGGCAAAAGGCACACTTGACCACAGCTGTAAATGGAACACATAGAGACAGTAAGAGTCTATTAAATCTAAGATAAAATTTGCTTAAGTAAGGCCAGGCATTCCTTAGTTAAGCGTGTAACTACTATAGATACGTGGGTGCAGGGCTGGGCAGGAGTTAACCTTACACACATATTCTAGGAAAAACATTTTTGTGGCCGTTCTTATACACTGAATTACTAACACTGTAGGTTAATTATTGTGCTTGCTCTGTATTAATTGTAAGGCGGTATTATCTGAACACATTTCATCTTTCATTCAATCCTCCTTGTTAATTTTGTGCTTACTTAAAATATGTAGCTTCCAGAAATGGTTTTAGAAATTAAGTAGAACAGTATTAATTTTAATTAGTTGTTACTGAAAATTTTAGATTACAGGTAAACATTGTTTAATTATATTTTTTATGTATTAAAGTAACAGTCATTTTTTTTAGGTTTCCACTAAGATTTATATTACCTGATTTTTTTATTCTTAACGTCAAGTGGTTTAGAGGCCCTGGTTGAATTTTTGAGTCTTAAATGAAGCTCCTTAGCAAAAAGAAAACAATTTAATTTATCTGGAATTTTTTAAAAAGACGTGTTTAGGTTCACTGTCAAATAATATAATATTGTTGTGTCATGATATAGCCAAGGTTCTTTCTAATTATGTCTTTCTACTCATGTTGCTCTTTATAAGGAGTGTATTTCTTTTACTCGGTTCTTTAGGATGGAATTACTTAACTCAGAAAATTTACGGTTAGGTTTGGAGGCTTATTCCACACCATCCGTATGTAGCCAATGGCTAGAAAAAGAGGAATGATTATTTTTTTTACCACAAGAAGGTTCAGAGTACCTAAATAATCCTCATGACCTCAATTACAAATCTAAAGTGGGTTCTTTGAGGGGCAGCCAATATAGTGTTTTCTGAGGCACCCAGCCAAAATGTTTTCAGTACCCATTCAGGTATGCTGAGAGCATAGCAAGTGCTGTGCCATCTTACGCTGCAAAATTTGATTTTTAAAGTTGATTATTATAAACCCCTGCTTTTCTAGGGCCATTTCTGTACTCTGTAAGCTTATGAATAATACCAGTAAACATACCAGTGATGTTAGGGAAGATTCATAGAGGCAAAAGCTGTTACTACCAGATGGAAAAGAGCATTCATAGAATGGTTTGGGTTGGAAGAGCCCTTAAAGATTCATCTAGTTCCAACGCCTTTAATTCAGATAAAATTTAATAGCAATTAATTTATGGCTATTAGCTCATTCTGCATTAGGATGACAAAAAGCCTTAAAATAAAACATGCAGAATCCTAATGAACTGTAGAAGGAAATTAACACTTTCATTTGAAATCTCTCCTAGTGAAGGAAGAGCTTCCCCCAGAGTGGAACTGCTGCATAACATAGACCCCATGTTTGTGGATAACTTCCCATGTAAGTACACTACTGATTGTTCAAGAATTACTAAACATACAGTTTATCTCCTGAATGCTCCTTGTTTTCCATAAGTGAAGTATTTCCTTCTAGGTGAAACAAAATAGAGTAGGATGCCTTCTGCTTTTAGTTAAATAGCTTTAGAATGCAGGAACATCATCCCCCAGGTGCCCTAAGTACTTACTGAGTCATGACCAATGTGAGCTTCCTATTTCAGAGAGCTCTGAAGCACTGCTGAGTAATGAATCGAGTACTTTGGGACATGGAAATGTTGAGGAGCAGCCTCAGGGAGTGTAGGGAGGCACACTGCCAAAAATCCCTACCAAACTTTGTCTTCAGTGCTCCAAGTTGGCAGGTAGCTCCCAGTGAACTGTTCACCCTGACACATGTTGATACATCTACATAATATGACCTAGCAAATGGAAAACTTGAGTTTGTGAGAAGCTGAGGAGTTCCAAGCCTTGTGATTGCTTTTGTTCCATAATCACATGGGTTGGATGTTTAATACCATAATCACATGAGATGGAGCTGAAGTTTGCCAATTCTATAGCTCTTAAACCACCTTCTGTTTTATGATTCAACATTATTAGCTTGCTAAGGACTACAAACTTTTCAAGCAAGATTTTTTCATGCAGAACATTGGAACAGGTCCCATACAGTGTTTTTGTAGCATTTCTGTATTTCATTAAACAAAGAAGTAAATCCAGGCAGAGGAAAAGTAGTGACCTGTTGCCTGCAAGACAGGTAAATGTTGTACTGTAGTAACTATATGGACAGGGTTAAGGTGGCCTTCTGCAAGACAGATCTAGTTCTGTGATGCTCTTCTTAGAAGGAGCAATACTGTGCCTCTCTTGTGCTTGTGGACAACACTGTCTGCAGGTTATTCCTACATACTGATGGAATTAAGGTGTGGCTACTCCAATATCCCTTCAAAGGATACTCAGCGAGTCGTGGCATTC